AACAGGTAATGATCAAATGATCTCTCTCCTGCCATCCATCACCTCCCTCTGACAAACAGAGGCTAGGGACACCATTCCTTACCCATCCTGGCTAATAGCCATTAATGGACTTAATCTCCATGAATTTATCTGTTTCCTAGAGACTGGCTCCATGGGGTCCCTCACAAACTGGAGACGGTTACTGTGGGTTTGTCTTTAGTATAGCTTACGTACATACTCCACGAACTGAGCATTTGAGCTTGTTCCAGAATCTGGGATGAGCCTATGTTGTGAAAACTGAAATGCTCAAAATAGCACATGCATGTGAATGGACACAGGGTGCTAAAATTAAATTAACCCAGGGGGTCTCAAACTGGGGGTTGGGACCCCTCAGGGGGTCACGAGGTTATTACTGGGGGTCGCGAGCTGTCAGCCTCCACCTCAAACCCTGCTTTGTCTCCAGCATTTATAATAGTGTTAAATATATAAAAAAGTGTTTTTAATTTATAAGGGGGGGTCGCACTCAGAGGTTTGCTATGTGAAAGGGGTCACCAGTACAAAAGTTTGAGACCCACGGAATTAACCCCTCTGGAGCCTCGGGGAATGCAGGGGAGGGGGTGTCTCCCTTGGTAGGGTTGGGAAGGAGGTAGGTGGTGTAGGATATTGCTCTTCTCATGTGATCCCTCCCCCATGGCTCTCTTGGCTCTATCACTGTTAATCTAAAGTGGCTAATTTGAAATGAAGCTACCCTCCCCTGACATGAATCTCCCTATGGCACTGAAATGAAATGTAGACTATAATTTGGCATTTGAGAAGTGAAAGGGATGGTGGTAGCCCTAAGGGGAAAGATAACAGCTTGGCTCTTTGTGTTAAATAGCTGTCTGCAAGCCTCAAACTGCTGAATGAGCTTTAGGGTAGGGAAGGCTGTGCCTCCCCAAACAGCCTGGCCCTGCCCCCTATCCAACCCCCATCCACTTCCTGCCCCCCGACTGCCCCCCTCAGAATCTCCAACCCATCCTGCTCCTTGTCCCCTCACTCACCCCCCCCAACCACCCCCCCACCAAACCTACCTGCTCCCTGTCACCTGACTGCCCTGACCCCTATCCACCCCCCGCCAAGTCCTGACAGACCCCCCAGAACACCCATGATCCAACTGACCATCCCTCCCCCCGCCCAGCAGCACTGTCCAGGGCCGCTCCTGGGTTACCGCCACCTCTCCCCTCTCTCGGAGCCTCAGCGCGCCACATCCAGGAGCTGCCCTGGCCCCTGGACAGCGCTGCAGGGCGTGGTTCAGCGGGACGAGAGGTCGCAGCCCCGCCCCCTTACCACGCGGCTCTGACTCAGTGGGAGGAGCACAGGCCCGCAGCTGAGGCGCCGGGGGATGGGGGAAGGCGGAGTCGGGTCGGGGGCCCCTGGGCCTGGGGCAAATTGCCCCATTTGCCCCCCCCCCGGGTGGCCCTGTCTATCAGTGACACGACAGGTGGAAATTCACCAGTCTGAGCTCAGCCTCAAGGGCTGAATCCACTTTTTCTAGCTGGATAGTTACACAAACCCCATCAAACCAGCACTGCAGCACCTCAAACACTAATTTATCCTCCTACCATGAAACCCTGCGATGGAGAGAAGTATCGTTCTCTCCTTTTTACAGGTGGCAAACGGCAGCACTAGGGCCCAGATTTTACCCGGTATGTCGGTATTGGAAGATGGGATTCAGACTCCTAAATCAATTAGGCATTTCAAGGCTGAGCACAGCTACGCCTGAAGACCTTCAGAAATCTGGGCCTAACGGTATTTCGGTGCCTGAAGAATCAGATCAGCCCTTCTTGGGATTTTCAGAGTCAGCTGGGTGCCTGACTCCCATAGAGCTGTAGAATGTAGGTACTTAGCAGGATGTTTAAGAGCACCTAGGCACCTATCCACTTCTTTTTTGCCTCAATATTTTTAATAGCCAGGCCCCAGTATATAAAGGCTGGGATTGGCAGCTGACCTAAGATTTAGGTGTCCAAATTGCACTAAAACAACAACAACAAATGTAATCAGTGTTCCTAACCCCTTTAGGTCGCTTGTCAGAGACTTAAGAGCACAGTCTGAGCTCCTGTGTAACAGGCCAGAGGATTTTACCAGTTTGAGACTCCCAGCCCGTCTCATCCTATCTTCCCAAGTGATTTCCCATTGCAACGGATATCTTTGCCAGGAACTTTCACCCAAATCACTACACTGATGTTAAACCTTTGAGGTTGACGTGCCAGTCTCTGTGTGGATTCCTTTAGTCCAGGTGTTCTATTTCAAGCTTTAGTTGGTAAAGGTGTGAATTAAACAAATACACTTGCAGGAAAACAAATATACGTGTAGACCAACCCTGAGTCTAGTGCTTTTACCACAAGCCCATACAGTTGCCCTTTATACACCACAAACAAGCCATGAGGCAAATTCAGGGCGGACACTAAACTGGGAGGAGTGGTAGATACGCTGGAGGATAGGGATAGGATACAGAGGGACGTAGACAAATTAGAGGTTTGGGCCAAAATAAACCTGATGAGATTCAACAAGGACAAGTGCAGAGTCCTGCACTTAGGACGGAAGAATCCCATGCACTGTTACAGACTAGGGACCGAATGGCTGGGTAGCAGTTCTGCAGAAAAGGACCTAGGGGGATGTGGGGCAAAATCAGTACTTGGTCCTGTTAGTGAAGGCAGGGGGCTGGACTTGATGACCTTTCAAGGTCCCTTCCAGTTCTAGGAGATAGGATATCTCTGTTTATAAGGGGAAAACAAAATAATAAACTGTTTAATGGATCAAGTACCCTGTGCTAATTGCCAGGATGTTTGGGAGAAGGAGAGTTAAGCCTATTGTTTTCTCAGGCCAAAAGGCTGCTGGAAATGTATAAGAACCCTGGGACACGATCCTGCTTCATCTCAGATCTGCTTTGTGTTTCAAGAGGGGGAAATAAGCCACAAGGATTGAGATCCCCAGTCATTGATTGGAGCCACCCTGAATATGGACATTGGACTATAACCTATGGACTATTTCTAAAAGGACTTTTGGCAACTACAAGTTCACCTCTGCTATGTACCTGAACCTCAAGAATTGAATTCAAGTCTGTATGTATATTGATCTTTTAACCAACACACTCTCTCTTTTCTTTTTTAATAAATTTTAGCTTAGTTAATAAGAATTGGCTGTAGCGTGTATTTTGGGTAAGATCTAAGTTATAATTGGACCTGGGTATGTGGCTGATGCTTTGGGATTGGAAGAACCTTTTCTTTTATATGATGAAGTAAGATTTTCAGTAATCATCATCATATCTGACAGGTGTGTCTGGACAGAGGCCTGAGGCTGGGCACTTTAAGGGAACTGCGTTGTTTGGACTTCTAAGTAACCAGTGAGGTACTACAGAAGCTGTTTTGTGCTGGCTTGGTAAATCTAAGTATTGGAATAACCACCAGTGTTTGGGGTTTGTCTGCCCCGTTTTGTTTGCAGTTCAGCCTGATTGAGTGACCTCAGCTGGCTCCCATGGGCAGCATCGTCACAGGGGCCTGTAATCTGAGCCCTGCCACTCAGGGCTAAAGCCGAACCCTGAGCCCCGCCTCCCAAGGTAGTGGGAATTGGGCTACTGCTTCAGCCCTGGGATTTGGCCCTGGGCACCAGGAAGTCTAACACCAGCGCTGGCAACCCACTTTGGGGTCCCAAAACACAGTGTGAGAATCACTGATTTAGATGCACAATTTGGGATTCCATATCACTTTGGTGGCTTTTAAATTCTTAGCCTAAGTGCCCAACTACAAGGCATGTTGTCAGTGGTAACACTTGGCATTGCTTTGTTTTTCTGTGAATTGATAGGACGCACACAGACATTTCTACATACTTAATACATCGAACAGGCCTCTCTACTTTGGAGGGCCAGGTCAGGACATTACAAGCATCTAGTCTCACCTCCGGTTTGTGGATAACACATACCTATAACATAACAACACCTGCTCACTGACTGCTCATATCAAACCTTCTCATTGACTTCACACCCAACCTTCTTAGTGTAGCAAGCTTCCAGATAACAGCAGCGAAAGGTGCTTTGGAGAGAGATTTCTTGAGAATAGGCAGACGGATGGACTTTTTGTAGTTCAGTAAAAATCCCTGTAAATAGTTCTAACACCAAATCAGCCTTCAGCTAAAAATCCCCCGTATCCCCTCCCATGGCTTAGAGGAGACAAAAATGACCAAGTTACATTAACCTAAAGGAAGAAAAAGGGGAAATATTTTCTGTTTATCAGACCCACATGGTGGCAGCAAAGTGTCATGTTTGATTATGAAACATTGCTATCCAAAGACTGAACCCGGGAACAAGCACAGGGAATGATTGTCCTCAGCACCGAAGGCTGGAATTTTCAAAGTCAGGGTTTGCCTTTCCAAATCCCTTTCCAATCAGCAGGAACTGAGTACCCAGTGCTCCTCGGAGGTTTGGGAAATCACATATACATTCACTGATTCTATGTTATATCAGTTTCATATACACTGGATGTTACGTTCTGATAACCCAGATTTAGGCATCTTACTATTCGAGTTTACCAGTTATCATTAAGCTCACACTGAAGTGCACATGGCTTTTAGCTCATGCAGTAGAGACTCATGCATTTAGATCCAGCAGTCCCAGGTGCAATCCTGCCTGCCGAGAACCGGGATCTGTTGCGGTTACACATGCAATAAAGGAGGTATACACATTCCACTGGGTAAGCAAGAAATGAAGCCCCCTCGTGTCCAGGTGCTTTAGTGTTTTCCTGGATTGGAGCCCAAACCTCATTCATATGCTCTGTTATCATCCGTGACAGTGTCCCTCTAAACTCTGAGGTCATTTATTAATAAAGGCAGGCGAAGCTGAGGTTTAGTCAAATGATTTAGCAACACCCACATGCAAATGAAGTAGGAAATCTGAGTGATAAAGGAGAGCAGGCGACCCTCACCGAAGAGCTGCCAGCAGAGGAAGGGTTACTGCTTTGCAGCCCACCAAGTTGTTGTGGAGAATGAAAATGGTCTGTCTGGGGTTCTTGTTCTTTTTGGCAGCTTTCTCAGGTAAGTGGATGAACCTACAGGTGTCTGGTTAGGACAGCTGGGCTAGGACAGGAAAGTCGGTTTTAAGACAAAGACGTAGCAATGGGATTCAGGGATTCTGAATTCGAAATCCTAGCTCTGAACAGAACACAGTGTGGAATTTTAAAGCCACCTAGTGGATTTGGATACCCAATTTTCATTAATCTTTAATGGGAAGTAGGTGTCAAAATCCCTTAAACATGGGGATAACTGTACTTCCCTACTTCACAGGAGGGTGGTGTGAATAAATTAATTAGAAGATCAGGTACTGTTGTGAGGAGGGCAACAGAAGGACTTGGATAAACCTGGGAAGAGGAGAAAAATAATGGAATTAACTGGGTTTTTATGGTTGTTTATTGACAGGTGTCAGCTCCCAGATCCAGCTGACCCAGTCTGGGGCAGAAATCAAGAAGCCTGGAGAGTCTGTGAGGGTGACGTGTAAAACCTCCGGCTACATCTTTACCAGCTATAGCATGCACTGGGCACGGCAGGCTCCAGGGAAAGCACTGGAGTGGATAGGATATATCATCCCCAGTAGCGGTGGCACTGGCTATGCCCAGGCCTTCCAGGGACGATTCACCATCACCAGGGACACCTCCATAAGCACGGCCTATCTACAGCTGGGCAGCCTGAGAACCGATGACACAGCCACGTATTACTGTGCTAGGGACACACAGTGACACAAACCACATCTACAGCAATTCCAAAACCCTCAGTGAGAACCCTGGTCTCCGGCGAACACTGGAACCTTTAGTCACCCCAGAGAGCATTTGCCCATGTGAACAGACAGGGGGCAATTCCTCCCCAAACTTCTTAGGCTCCTAACTCACTTAAACTTCATTAGGGCATGAGCTTTCGTGAGCAAAAACCTCACTTCTTCGGATGCATCCAAAGAAGTGAGGTTTTTGCTCACGAAAGCTCATGCCCAAATAATTCTGTTAGTCTTTAAGGTGCCACCAGACTCCTTGTTGTTTTTGTAGATACAGACTAACACGGCTACCCCCTGATACTTAAACTTCATTGTCAGTAGATTTTTCTTCTAAGTCACTTCTCAAAATATGAATTAGGCTCCTGTGACACGGTCACCTGTCACAGCAGCAAAACGGTCCTGGGTGAATGGCCTAAGCACCAGGCTATGGGGTATTTTGGGGAGGGGTCTTTCAACCTCTCCCGTTAATGCTGTTCCACCGTGACTAAATTAATACTCATTTTGTCTGAAAGAGAAATATGGGATGCGCTGGGGGTGTCTGTACCCCAAATGTCACCCTCCCCTTGACAGTGGAAGATATGGGCTCAACTCCCTGCTCCCACATCAGGCAGAGGGGGAGAAAATGACCCTGGCTCTACCATGTCCTAGGCAAGTGCTCTAACCCCTAGGCTAAAAGCTAAGGGAAGCACCAACAAACCCTTCTCTGGCACAAGGGGGTTTGAGTGTGGTTTTGAATGTAAACAGCTGAGGCACCTGACTCCAGGAAAGGGCTGTGAATCCCAACTGGAGTTAGGCACCAAACTCCCTTTAACAGGTGGGACTTAGGACCCAACCCCTCCTCAGCATCTCCTAGGGGGTAGGTCAGGCAGCTCCCCGTTCAGTGTGTTTTCTTTTGTAGATCCCCCTATCAAGCTCCTAAGTCTCCTCTACACATGCATGTTACCTCTAGGGCAGCGCCCCATGCCCAGATGGGGAGTTGCAGGGGACGGCTCTTCTCACACACCCCTGGTGACCCCTTCTCAGCCGCAAGGGCCAGTCCCAGCCAGTGTCTTCTCCAGGTTCTCCCACTGGGCCTCTGTCCTGGGTCTCAGCCCATCACACAACAGTTCAGTCCCCTCCCAGAAGCAGCTCTGAAACAAGGTCCTTCCCCACCTCCTGGGCTTGACTTCAGCTCCCCCCCTTGTGAGGATATTGGGACCCTAGGCTCCTCCCTCTGGGAGTCCATATGTCACTTAAACCAGCCTCCCACCCTTCCTGGGCTTCTAGCATCCATTGTTATTGCTGCTTGCTGTGTGCTCCACAATATCTGTGAGAGTAAGGGGGAGACTTTTATGGCGGGGTGGGAGGTTGAGTCAAATCGCCTGGCCACTGATTATGCGCAGGCAGACTCCCCGGTGATTAGAAGAGCACAGCTGGGCGCCCTGTGCATCAAAGAAGCTTTGAAAACCAGTTTCATGACTGGCCAGGCTACAGTGTGAGAGTTCTGTTTGTTTCTCCTTGATGAAAACCTGCCCCCTTGGTTGACTCTATTTCCCTGTAAGCCAACCGACCTCCCCACTTCGATCACCTCTTTCAGAGGCAATAAAGTCATTATTGTTTCAAAATCATGCATTCTTTATTAATTCATCACACAAATAGGGGGATAACTGCCAAGGTAGCCTGGGAGGGGTGTGTGAGGTGGGAAGCACCGGGTGGGGTGGTGGAGGAGGGGAGGAGGGAAGGACCAGGCCACACTGCACTTCAAAACTTATTGAAGCCCAGCCTTCTATTGCTTGGGCAATCCTCTGGGGTGGAGTGTCTGGGTGCCCAGAGCCTCCCCCCACCGCGTTCTTGGGCATCTGGGTGAGGAGGCAATGGAACTTGGGGAGGGGGGCAGGAGGTTATACAGGGGTGGTCTGTGCTCCTGCTGCCGCTCCTGCAGCTCCACCAGATGCCTGAGCATGTTGGCTTGCTCCCCCATTAGGCTCATTAGCCTCTGGGACGGAGATGATAGGGGGAGCATAGAAACATTTGCAGCTGCAGGAGGAAAAAAAGGGAGAGTAGTATTTAAAAAGATCCCTTTGTTCTCTAAAATGTAAGACTATTTCACACTGAATCAAGCGATTCACATTACACAGCACATGTGCTTTCTCCCTCCACCCACTGCGTGGCTATTATCAGGGACGATCCATCTCAGCCAAACGCGAACAGCTCAGCATGAACGGGTCTCCACCCACCGCATGGCAAAGCCTTTTAGAGTACCAGACACGTTAACAGAGTTTTCCAGTAGCTATACTGGCCGCGAATCCATCCCAAGTCCTCAGGGCAAATTAATCATTAAACACGCTTGCTTTTAAACCATGTATTATATTTACAAAGGTACACTCACCAGAGGTGCCGTCTCCGGCTTCATGGTCTGGGAGCACGCCTTGGGTGCAAGGGCGGCTTTAGGCACCAGCAAAGCAAGCACGTGCTTGGGGCAGCCCATTTGCAGGGGCGGCAGAGATCCAGCCTGGGAGCTGAGAACCAACAGGGGGCCCTGGAAGCTGTAGTTCCTTGGTTAGCTCCCTGCCTATAGAGCCAGCCCTGGAGCAGGGAAAGAACTACATTTCCCAGCATTCCCTCGGCCACTACCAACAGGAAAGAGGGGGAGGGAGGAAGCTGAGATCTCATGCTGCAGCCTGCTGTGAATGGAGAGCTGCACTGTGAATTTGTAAATGTCCGGACTCCCCCCCCCCATGCAGAGCGCGCGCTGCTGACAGGGCAGCCGGCCGGATGGTGCCACTTACATGGGGCTCCGACAGCCAGAGAGAGCCCCTCCTCCTCTCCCCTGCAGCAGAGATCACTCCCTCCCCTCCCTCCCTGCATTCGCAGATCGCCTCCGGCAGTCTGGAGCTCCTCTCCCGCCAGCCAGCCTGCCGGGACGAACGGCGCAAGCCGTTCCTGAGCAAGCTCACAAATGCATTAGGCGAAGGCCAACAACAAGGGGGCCAGGGGGTCGGAGAAGGGGCAGGGAGGTTCTGGAGGGGGCAGTCAAGAGACGGGGGGGTCGGGAGTTCGGGGGGGGGGGCTTTCTGGGGGAGGGTGTGGATCAGGTTTTGGGCAGTCAGGGGACAGGTAGGGGGTAGGGTGCTGGGGGGCATTTGGGGGGGTCTTAGGAGGGGGCAGTCAGGGGACAAGGAGCGGGGGGAGGGTTGGGGGTTCTGAGGGGGGGAAGTGGGAGGGGCAGGGGCGGGGCTAGGGCGGGGCTCCTCCCGTCCTCTTTTTTGCTTGCTGAAATATGGTAACCCTACCCCTGCTCCCTGTCCCCTGATCACCCCCTCCCGGGACCCCTGCCCCAACTGCCCCCCAGGATCCCACCCCCTATCTAAGCCCCACTGGTCCTTGTCCCTGGATTGCCCCCTCCCGGCACCCCACCCCCTATCTAAGCCTCCCTTCTCCCCAACTGCCCCCTCCTGAGACCCCCCTCCCAACTTCCCCCCCAGGACCCCATCCCCTACCTGTCCCCTGATAAATCCCTGGGACTCCCAAGCCTATCCAACTGCTGCCTGTCCCCTGACTGCCCCCCCGAACCCCTGACCCATCTAACCCCTCTTCTCCCTGTCCCTTGACTGCCCCCCTGGAACCCCCTACCCCTTCTCCAACCCCCCAGCCCCCTTACCATGCCACTCAGACCAGCGTGTCTGGCTTCGCGCAGCACCAGACACGCTGCTGCGTACACGCTGCCATGCTCCCCTGCGGAGCCACAGCCCCCCTCCCCCCCCCCAGCACCTGCCTTGCACCCCTCAACCCCCCCAAACACACCAACACACACGCCAACTTACTTCATTTCTCCCAAATCAAATATACTGATCCACTGTAACTTGCTGTAGAAAAAGTAGGATAAAATTGAGCAAGAAATGCTTCCCAGTGGTTATTAGGACTGGAATTGCTATTTTCAACAGCCATTGCCTTTTTTGTTTGTTTGTTTGTTTGTTTGTTTAAAAGGAAGACAGTGATATTGCATTGGCAAATTCCCCATAGAAAGAAAAAGTGGAACAAAAGAATAATAAAGGCACCTCAACTTTTCCTCATTTATGTAGGACAGTCTTATAATATGCATCCAGACATCCTCCAATCACACAAGCTGAAAATTGTTCCACTTTACTGCAGTTCTGTAACCATATGGGAACCAATCCTGTCTGTGTTCTGTGCACACCCAAAATTCCTGCTGAATGACCCGCCCTGGGAGCGAGTTACCAGTGACCCAGGGCTGGGGTGTCAGGAGGGTGCAGGGCGGGCAGGGGAGAGCCCAGGGCTGGGGCGGCAGGAGGTGTGTGTGGGGGGCAATGGTGTGGGGGGGGGGGGGGGGCCCGGGGCGGGGGGGGGGGGCAGCCAAACAT